TTTCTGGAGTCCCTGGGTACTGTAAACAGTTAATGCACTTGAGTGCTAACCGAGAGGTTGGAGGTTCAAGTTCACCCAGAGACCCCTCGGAAGAAAAGCCTGGCGATCTACTTCTGAACAATCAGCCATTGAAAACTCTATGGAGCACAGTTCTACTCTGACACACCTGGGGTCACCATGAGTCGTTGTCAACTCAACAGCAACTGGTACTGGTAAAGAGACTCTGCCTCAAATTTTTCCCCTTCAATCTAACCCCCAGACAAATAGAGACCAATTGGCAGCAGAGTGATCTTTCTAAAAGGTGCATTTGATCACGTTTTTCTCCTGTTAAAACCACTCAAGTCCCACCCCCACCCCACCCCCAGTTTTTCAAGTGGTTTACCTATGAAGAGAAAGACACAGGAGAGTAATAGTTAAAGGGGTCCTAGGACAGAGGGAGGGTAAGAAAGCCATAAGCAAGTTCAGGGGCTGAAAGGGAAGAGCAGTTTAGGGTCAGAGGAGGCAGGAGACAGAATCCTCAAAGATGTGAGAGGCAGTGGGTTCCATGGCCAGATGACAGAGTTCTCCGGAAACAAAAGGAGGGACACTTCTCACACTGACCCTGGAAAGAAGGAAGAAACGGAATGGCCATTCAGGCAAGTCTGTTGGCGGGGGACTGAGGTTGCCTACCTCTTCCTTACAAAGAAGGAGGAGCAGGTTCAAAATGATGAGAGACAGAAGGTGGGCTAGACAAACCTCCACCTTCAGACTGGCAGGCTCCTCCAGAAGCCATTAGGCAGGAAGGTGTGAAAATCCCAAGTACTCAAGCCAGAATGAATAGATGGGACCTTTGCCATTAGGCAGGAAGGCGTGAAAGTCCCAAGTACTCATGCCAGAATGAGTAGATGGGACCTTCACCCGGGGACAGATTCCCAGGGCAAACCTCCTCTGTGGGAACACCTCCCCTGATGGACCTCTTGGATTTCCCCTCTGCAGCCCAGCATCAGAAGTTTCTTCATAAAGGCCACTTTACTTTTTTTCCTGCCCAATAGCCCTAACTGCTGCCGCACCCTGAGTCACATCAGAGGCGTCAGTGGTCACTGCAATAACAACAGCAGATACAGCAGCAACAGCAGGTAAGTGATCTGTTCAGTCTTAGGATTGCTGGTGACATATCTCTGATAGAAGGGACTTGGAAACTTCAGCCTCTCTTTTCTGAATCCCCTAGGAGCTGGGGTGATGAATTACAGAAACTTTCAGCTGAAGATAATTAATGTCTTCCCCCAGACAGTGCTGTCCCACAGACCTTTCTCCAATGACAGGAAGGTTCTTTATCTGCACTGTCCAGTATGGTAGCCACTAGACCCATGAGGCTATTGAGCACTGAAATATGGCCAGGATGACTGAGGAACTGAATTTTTATTTTATTTTAATTAATTTAAATTTGAATAGCCACATAAGGCTAGTGGCCACCATATTGGACAGCACAGACCTTTAACAATCTCATTTCCCAAAGGAGCACACCATGTCCCAGAGAGAAATGACTTGTCCACGCTCACCTTGACCATTAATAGCAGAACCAGGATTGGAAGCCAGTTTCTTACTCACCCCACCAACCACAAGCATGTGGAGGGCTCAGTGGAAATGAAATCAACCTCAAGAGAATCAAGAAGTAGACTGTCTTGGTTACCTAGTGCTGCTATAGCAGAAATATCACACATGGGTGGCTTTAACAAACAGAAGTTTATTTTCTCACCGTTTAGGAGGCTAGAAGTCCAAATTTAGAGTTCCAGCTCTGGGGAAGACTTCCTCTGTCAGCTCTAAAGGAAGGTCCTTGTCTCTTCTGACCTTCTGCTCCTGGGCAGTCTTCATGTGACTTGGCATCTCTCATCCCCAGTCTCTACTTCTTTTGCTTGCTTGTTTAATCTCTTTAATATCTCAAAAGAAATTGATTTAAGACACACCCTACGCTAAACCTGCCTCATTAACATAAAAAGACAACCTATTCCGAAATGGGATTCTAACCACAGGCATAAAACCCATTGCTATTGAATCTACTGCAACTCATAGCAACCCTATAGGACAGAGTAGAACTGCCCCATAGGGTTTCCAAGGAGCAACTGGTGGATTTGAACTGCTGACCTTTTTGGTTAGCAGCCTAATTCTTAATTACTATGCCACCAGGGCTCCACCACAGGCATAAAAAAAATAAATAAACCAAACCCACTGCCGTTGAGTCTATTCTGACTTATAGCAACCCTATAGGACAGAGTAGAACTGCCCCATAGGGTTTCCAAGGAATGGCTCGTGGATTCAAACTACTGACCTTTTTGGTTAGCAGCCTAACTCTTAACCACTGCACCACCAAGGCTCCACCACAGGTATAGAGGCTAGGATTTACAAAACACATATTTTAGGGGGACACAATTCAATCCATAACATAGACTAGTTGGGAAATGTTAAATCTGGGCTCCCCTTTCTATACCCTTTGTATTTGGTTGTCCGGAACAGAGCTGTACCTAACCGGGCTTAGGAACCTGAGGCTGGGACCCATCCCCCTTGTTACAGTGGACAGAAAACAGGATTTGAGGTCAGAGGAGGAAAAAAAAAGGTTAAGCCTCAGTACAGCTTTGTCACTCTAGGTAAATTGCTTAACCTTCCTGAATCTTAGTTTCCGCTTCCAGAAAGTGCCTATTTTACAGGGTTGTCATGACAATTAAAGGACACAAATTCTGAAAAGCACCTTGCCAGAAGCTAGAACTTAGTAGGCACTCAGCATTACAGCTAATATGACTACTGTTATCCAAGTAAAAGTACCTGAAATTAAGACGTACAGCAAAGTCAGCTTTGAAAAGAGGAAGAAGAACAGAAGGAAACAGAAGCACCCTTACACTACTTTTCTTTGACCGAAGAAGCAGTGGGAGAAACATCATGTTATTAGTTGATTAACTATTTTAATAATAGTAACCACAACAATAAAAGTTAACATTGTGCTTTATGTGTGTGCTGAGTACTCGTTCCATCCTCGCCACAATCCAGTGAGTTAGATTCTACTATGGGCTCCTTTTTACCAATGAGTAAACTGAGACTCAGAAAGGAAAAGTAGCGTGCCCACAGATGTTCAGCTAGCAAAGTTCTTAACCACTGCTCTCAATCGCCTCTCATATGTAATGAGCCTCTGTCTGGTTTGACCACTAACTGGCCATGAGTCATTGCATTCTTCCCTAGCATAGGAAAGAGAGAGGGGACAAATACTGAGGAACATTTGCTAGACAGTTAGACTCAAAGGTTCTTTCCTTGGGGTAGGGGCTTAAGTGAGTTTGCCACAGGCTTTGAGGACTCTCTGGACCCTGGCATGTGTTGAGCAAGAGGATAGGGTAAGGAATAGTGGAGGGGACTGAGGCTTTGTTAGCCAGGATAGGGGACAGGGAGAGGGCAGTGAAATAGTGTGAATTAGTGCTCTACCTGTAATGTACCTACTCTGACTTTCATTGATCAAAACTCATTGCCGTGGAGTCAATTCCAACTCACAGCCACACTATAGGACAGAGTAGAACTGCCTCTTAGGGTTTCCAAGGCTGTAATCTCTACAGAAGCAGACTATCACATCTTTCTCTCACGGAGCAGCTGGTGGGCTCAGACCTCTGACCTTTCAGTTAGCAGCAGAGTGCGTAACCATTACGTCACCAGGGTTCCTTTTTATTTATAATCAATAGCAAATGTGATAAAATATACTCTTAGAATCACCCAACACTGCTTTCGAAATGTGTTTCGACTTGAGTTGGATTTTGACTTTGGCCAAGGGCTTCCTTTCTAACTAGATGGTTTTTGCTCCAAGGCTGGTGGCCACTACAGAGTTCTGGTCCTCAGACCCAATCCCAGTATGTAAACCAAGGAAGAATAGCAATGCCCTAATAGGGGACCTGGCCAGAGAAGATGGGAATGAGGTGAAAGGCTAGGATGGGCCTAGAGGTAGGAATGGGCCCCTACTCAGGGACGTGGTATAGAAAAGGAGTCTGTGAGGCTCTGAGGGCTCTTCAGGAGCAGATGGAAGACAAGTGGCAGTATGTCCAGGGAGGAAAGCTACCAGACTCACCAGAAGCCTAAGTTCCATCTCTGTTCTCTTAATAAGCTGTCTCTCCCTCCTGAGATGTGAAAGACGTTAAAGAGCAATAGCACTACTGACTGGTAAGCGCATGGGAAGCCCACTCTAACAGATTTGTGGGATGGTAGGTCACGTGTAATGTGGAAGAGAGGAATCAGAGAGGCCATGAAAAGTAACGAGGTTTATTATACTCACAGTTCCCAGAGACCCAGAGGCATAGCATGCCATGACACAGGGCCACACAGGGGGTTGCATCTGGGGACAATTGGACTTGCAGGAGAGGGCTTAAGGGATGATGGCAAGCAGGATGGGGTTAGCTAGGTTGTCCAGGCTTCCCAGGGACTGGACATTTTGAACAATTCTGCAGGCTCAGTGGGCATACAGGCTGTCCCTCGTTGCTAGGTACCTGACCCCGGGGCAATTAGGACAGGCGTGTAGTGGTCCAGGAATATGAGAACCTGATAAGAGGAGTGGTTGGAGAAAGGACTTAATCAGCTGCTCAGGAAGGGGAATGAATTGGCCTCCAGACAGGGCCTCCCAACTGTGTCAAGACAGCACTTAAAGAAAACAGTACCACAAAGCCTGAGGCAGCCGAAATGGGAAGTGTCAGATAGGTCAGCTGAAGAAGCTGCTGTGAAGATCAAGGCAAAAACGAGAGAAATCGGTGTGGCCCTGGGCCAACCATTTCCTTTGTCTGGGCCTCAGGTTTCTCATACGTGAAATGAGAGGATTGACTAGAAAACCCCACTGCCCCTTCCCAGTATGAACTCTATGAGTCCATGGAATCACTATCTATCAGAGCTGACCTGGGAATTAATTATTCAGAGTTATCAAATGCAACACGGCAGCCTCTAGAACTCCACCCCTGGGTTGAGCAATCTAATCCAACACTTGACTTCCTCTCCTGTTTTCACAGCGCCACCGCCCTTTCATTGGCCACATCTATCCTCCTGGAGGTGTCATACAGGTGAAAAGCTCAGCATCTTGGTAAGTCTTGGAAAACCCATCACCTCCTACCGCCCCAGATTGTCTCTGTTCTCTGTTCCCTTTGACACCCAGCCTGTATTTATCCCAGGCATCTATCCCCACCGCTGATGGGCCCCCCATCCACATTCCTAAGTCTCTTTATTCTCACACTTTAGGCCTTCCTATGCCCAAAGGCAGAACCTCTGCCCCTATTCTCTATACCCCATGCCAACGATCACTTAGACAACTGCTGCCTACCCCTTCCCTTGACCCTGTAACCTTCCCAGGTTCAGCCAGCTCTCCCTGCTTTGGCTAGGGGATCTGAGGATGGGTCAAGCACTGTTGATTCCCCCCCCCCCTTATATTAAATGCAAATATCTGTGGATTATATTTATAGAGAATACTGGAATTGTGTTGAAATGATTGGCTGAATGTTTTCTTCATGTTAAAAAGATTGCCTTAAATGTCTGGGATTTTGTCAATGTCCCTGTTTTATGGTTTTGTTGTTTTGTTCTTTAATAGACTTTAATTTTTAGTGCCATTTTAGGTTTACAGAATAATTGTGCAGAAAGTACAGAGAGTTCCCATACACTGTTCTATACTATTTTTATGTAGTAAATTAGAATTCATTTAAACTACTATGTGTCACTAAGAGGCTGGCAGGTTTGTTTAGTCAGGGAAGCTCCTGCTTGGTCACTGAGAACATGATGGGGTGGTCAGTAGGAGTTAGATAGCTCGAGGGTGTTTGGCTTATCATTCCTGCAAGGGCTGATTCTTTAATTCTGGGTCTAAGAAATAGCCAAAGAAAGTAATGCGCTAGACCTAAAACAATGTGAGTGAACGATATACAGGTTGACTTAATAATCTACGTAAGGTGTGATTTTTTTTTTTAAGAAATAGGGCTGTATACTGAAACTTATATGCCATGTGGAGCTGTTGACACCTAATCTGAATCCTGGCCCCTCCACTTATTGGCCTGGTGACCACAGGCTGTTTCCTGAGCCTCTCTGTGCCTCAGTCTTCTCACTAGTCAACTGGGGCTAATCATAACTATTTGTAATGACTGAGAGAGATCAAGGATGGATCAAGGCACACACAGGCAGAACAGGTAGGATCACCACCAGGACTGGAAAGTCACCAAGAACAAAGGCAGTATCTCCACCTGTCGTCTTTGCTTCCTGCTGCCCCTCTGCCTTATTCGGAGGGCACACTTTCTCTGCTTGCCCCTATGTAGCAGAATATGGATGCCCAGAGCTCCCAAGATAATCAGTTACATTTCCACTTACCTGGAGAATCAGCCCATCAGCCACCTGCCTGTATTTTTTAATATTTTTTTAAAGTACACAAATACTCCCAGAACAGGCCTCCTTCTTCCTGATAAAGAAGCTCTGGGCTGTATTAACTGACTGCAATTTCTTCTAGCTCAAGCATTCTGAAACTCTCTGCTGCCATTGCTCCAACCATATTCCAGAACACATCTTTTGCAATAACTTTTATTAAGTAAGACAAAAGGATTCATCTCTCAGTCAAGCCTTGATCTTTTCCTAGTGGTACAACCCAAAGGATTACCCCCTTAACCCTTGATATTGAGAACTGAATGGTTTTTTTATGTTTCTAAACATTAAATCCAGCCTCAGCACACAAAGATGTGCACCACTGAGGACCCAAGACAATGGGCTCTGTAGGGATTATCCAAAGGAGAGGTTCAACAATGTTTTGGGTGACAGTGATGTCATGAAAAATGCTAAGAATCTCTGACTATAAAGGAAACTATAGTCTTTTGGTGAAATGTGCTGTTTATCACTAAATGTGTCTCAAACTTTAGAGGCCTTACTATTCAAATGTTTGAAGTGAAAGTCACTTCCATGCAGGCCAATGCAAATTCGCCCAGGTTCTTGGGCAGGGGAAGAGCTAGAAACAGGAGGGGACTTTATTGTGTAGTAACTTTCATCTCTCTTCTACAGGCCAGGATTAAATTTATCTCAAAAATGGAAGAATTTAGCTTCGAGAATCTCAGCCTTGACTATTTCTTTGGAGATGATAGTAATTACAGTTACAGCACTGGCATACCCTCTATTCTATCAGATTCTGCCCCATGTCGACCAGAATCCCTTGAAATCAACAAGAATGTTGTGATCACCATCTATGCTCTGGTGTTTCTGCTGAGCCTGCTGGGAAACTCCCTGGTGATGCTGGTCATCTTATATAACCGGGTCAGCTGCTCTGTCACGGATGTCTACCTGCTGAACCTGGCCATGGCTGACCTGTTCTTTGCCCTGTCACTGCCCATTTGGGCTGCCTCCAAGAAAAACGGCTGGACTTTTGGCACACTCCTGTGCAAGGTGGTCTCACTCCTGAAGGAAGTCAACTTCTACAGTGGTATCCTACTGTTGGCCTGCATCAGCGTGGATCGCTACCTGGCCATTGTCCATGCCACACGCACACTTATCCAGAAGCGACACTTGGTTAAGTTCATATGTCTGGGCATCTGGGGACTGTCTCTTTTTCTGTCCCTGCCCATTGTCCTCTTCCGCAAGGCCATCCACCCACCCTATTCCAGCCCAGTCTGCTATGAGGACATTGGTAACAACACAACAAAATGGAGGCTGGTGCTCCGGATCCTGCCCCAGACCTTTGGTTTCATCCTGCCACTGCTAGTCATGCTGTTCTGCTATGGATTCACCCTGCGCACACTGTTCGAGGCCCACATGGGGCAGAAGCACAAGGCCATGCGGGTCATCTTTGCCGTCGTGCTCGTCTTCCTGCTCTGCTGGCTGCCCTACAACCTGGTTCTGGTTACAGATACCCTCATGAGGATTGGGGTAATCAAGGAGACCTGTGAGCGCCGCAGTGACATTGGCTGGGCTCTGGATGTTACCGAGATTCTGGGCTTCCTCCACAGCTGCCTCAACCCCATCATCTATGCCTTCATTGGCCAAAAGTTTCGACATGGTCTCCTCAAGATTATGGCTACCCATGGCCTGATCAGCAAGGACTTTTTAGCCAAGGAAGTCAGGCCTTCATTTGTTGGCTCTTCTTCAGGGAACACTTCTACTACCCTCTAAGACTCCTTACCCCTCTTCAGCACCTCGGGTTTCCTCCCTTCCTTTCATCGTCCCATTCTAAGCCTCATATACAATGACTGTTCACTGTCTCTGTGTCAAGGCAGCCCCCAGTTGTAGTCACAGGAAGGAGCTGAGGCTGCATGCATACCAGGCCTCCATTGTGTGGTTCAGAAAACCTGCCCTTGGTGCCCCACCTTATGCCCTAAACTATGCCAACTACTAGAGCTTGGTCTCTCCTACCACTGGGCCCATAGCACTCTGTTTTCTGAGATATTTTAAAGACATTCTTTTAAGTGACTACTGGAAATTCTCACCAATGGAAACCATTAGTGGCAAACACCATTAGTTGCTTCCCCAACTGCCATTTTCCTCCCCTTTCTTCCTTGCCAGCAAAGCTTACCTCCCTTTGAGAGAGGCTGAAAATGACAGATAATCACTTTCTATGACTCCCTTAAGCTAGGAGTGGCCATATACTCCAGTTCTGACTAGTAATACTTATGGACGGTAGTGTGCCGGTAAACTGCTCTCCAGGAAAAACAAGTCTAATTTATAGCATTTGCCACTTTCCATAATGTAAATATTCCCACTGTGACTGATTTCAAGGATGACTGTGTTTATCTACCAGCTCACAGAATTGCTGAAAATGTAATAACCTGATCTTGTGGGAAGGTTCAAGTCGGCTCCAGTAAACCACTGCTTAAGGGGAAGTCTGCTAGGGTCAGGGGCTCCTAGAATCTTCTGGGATTAAGAAAATAGAGACTCCCATAACGAGAGCTTTTTACTGCCTTGGCCACATCCTTGCTCCCAGCCTTTGAATATGGCTCTAGGATATGATGTGTGATCCTGAGGCTGCCCCTTTGTGACAATGAGGCAAAAAGCCCAACTCATCAGGTGGATGGAACCAAAGGATAAAAAGAACCTGGATCCAAAAAGGCAAACTTGAACCACTAAGCCAATCTTGGAACCACCTACTTCCAACTTCTTGTTAAAGAATTAAATTTTTTTTATATATTGTTATAGATTGAATTGTGTCCTCCAAAAAGATATGTTGAAGTCCTAACCCTTGTATCTGAGAATGTGAGCATATTTGGAAATAGATTCTTTGAAAATGTTATCAGTTTTGTTAACATGAGGTCATACTGGTGTAGGGTTGGTCCTAATCTTATATGACTGGTGTACTTGTAAAAGAGGAGAAGATACACACAGACAGAGAGACAGAGGGAAGGATGCCACATGACGCTGCAGCTGGGAGCAAAGAAACACCTGGAGCTACCAGAAGCTAAGACAGAGACATGGAATAGATTCTCCCTCAAAGTCTCAGAAGGAGTCAACACAGCTGATACCCTGATCTTGGACTCCCAGCCTCCAGAACTGTGAGACAATAAATTTCTGTTGTTATACTAGTTTGTGGTATTTTGTTACTGTATCCCTGGGAAACTAAAACATATATAAACCACTTTTAGTTGGGTATTTTGTTACTTGCAACCAAAAGCATCCAAAATGCTACAGAGAGCTTGGGCAAGGGTGAGCAGAGGTCCCAAATGAGGGTCTTCACAGTAAGAGAATCCCTTTGCGATTTATTGGGTACATAGAGGGATGAATCTGAATGGAGACGGGGCTAGCCTTTCCACTCCCCTCATCTCCAGCCAAGCCTCCTCCTGCTGAACACTTGAAAGGAAATGTATTCTGGGATCAACTAGCGTTTCTCATGTCCTTGGGTAAAATAGTAGTCGAGAGTGTCAAGAGTGGGATTTAGAAAGTGCAGAAGGGTTGAGCAAGTTCACCAAATTGACTGGATTGGGTAGCAGGAAGGCAGAGAGCTTTCCTGAGTTCAACCAGCAACTCCTACTTAGAGTCTCCTTTCAATCTCTCCTGTCTTTCCCCAAAACACAAACACGCTAATCCTTCAGATTTTGACAAGAGAGTGCTAGTACAGAACGGGGACATGATTTGTAATATGTCACCCAGAGAAAACAAAAGATTTGAGTCAATGTTTAGTGAGTGCTTATTGTTCCCGAGGTTTGGGGCATAGCAGTGACCACACCAGAAGGCCTTGCCCTGGCTCATTCATGGGGCTTGTCTCGGAAGAGTCTTTGTCAGGAAGGGCCCTGGCTCTGACCAGACTGCTAAGGAAAGATAATGAAGGGAACAGAACTTTACAGTTACCAAATTTTTACCTAGTCCGCATTCCCTTCATTTTAAAACTATCTAACCACTAAATCAAGGAGATAACCATTTTCCCAGCCATAGCTATGAAAAGAGGCCTCTCCAGAGACGGAGGACAAAATTCTGAGCTAGAAGGCTCCAGAAGGCAGGTAACTACCACTCATAACTCATGAAAGTGCTTTTCCTTTTACATTCAGCAAACAGGATTAATTCAGTGACAATAACCCCTTGCTCTGTGCCAGGCACTGTGCTAAGCTCAGGATCAAGCATGATTCATCTTCTCTGGCTGAGCCTTCAGAACAGCATCTGATTCAGCAGGAGGAAAATGCAGAGGAACGTGTATTTACTAAACGCCCGAGTTCCCAGACGGACCAGGCTTGTTCTTCTGCCTGGGCAAGGCGGACAAGCCAGATGGTTCCCTGAGATGACTCTTTGAGGAAGGAGGTCAAATTAAGTTTCACTTGGTTCCAGGACTCTGTTCTTTCCTCATCTACCCAGGGCTGGAGGAAACAGGGTTCTCCAAGGAAAATACGAGAATAAAATAAGCCCAGAAGAAATGAGGCAGAGACCAAATTGCACTTACATGACCTCAGTTAATATTTGTCTCTCTTTCTCTTTCTATCTCTCTTTCTGGCTTGCTGTCCCTCATAAGGACAGTCTAAGCACAAGTAATTTACCAAGCATACCATCACCAAAAACCAAAACCTGTTGCCATCGAGTTGATCCCCACTCACAGTGACCCTATAGGACAGAGTAGAGCTGCCCCATACGGTTGCCAAGGAGTGGCTGGTGAATTCAAACTGCTGACCTTTTAATTAGCACCCGAGCTCTTAACCACTCAAATCTAGGGCTAGCCTTTGAGTCAGTGATGGATTTCTTTCTTCCCTCTGCTGTTTCCCAGACTCATGGCGACGCCATGTGTGTCAGAGTAGAGCTGTGCTCCATAAGGTTTTCAATGGCTGATTTTTCAGAAGTAGCTCACCAGGCCTTAATTCCAAGTTTCCTCTAGGTGGACTCGAACCATCAACTATTTGGTTAGCAACCAAAGATGTTAACTATGTGCACCTTCCAGGGACTCCTGTGTTCCTTTATTTACTTCTCTTTCTCCATAATTAACACCATCTATCTGTTTTTATCTGTCTCCCCGAGTTTATGACTCCTCTCCCCACCACAATCCCTCTCCAGTCTCTGTAGGATGTGTTCCCTTTGTTCATTAAATCAAGACAGCCTCCAGCTTCCCTTGGGTGATATTAAGACATACTCCTGGTTTATATGTCACACTAAAAGTAATCTCATGCAGACCCAAGGTGGAGAACCATGCTACTACACAATAGCAAAGTTCAAAGGGACCTAGAGAACCCCCAGACCAACCCTTCCCCAATTAATATGGGGAAACTGAGGCCTAAGCAAAGCAACTTGACTAAAATCTCATGGCTGTATAGTAGCAGAGTGGGAATAACAATTCCAAGTTCAGTTCATTTTTTACCAGATATTTTGCTTCAAGTGGTGACATTTCAGGCACCTGACAGGTAAATGGGGAAATATATATGTGCTGCTCAGAGCATCCCAGTCCCACAGGTAAGATCAATCTGCTTTGTCAGTGCCCAGACTCATCTGGGCCTGCAGCTGGGGTTGTTGGTGTCTCAATTATCCTGATAGAGGTGGGGATGAGCTGAGGCTTGGGGCACTGCTGTGGGAGCACGCTCAGTCTGGGCTCCCCCATTATGAGCTGGCAGGACAATTAAAAAGAGCCCAATGTAAAGCCCAAACACAGGCAAAACTAAACCCTGTATTGAGGACACACATTGTATCAGTCAGGGTTCGACGAGAGAAGCAGAACCACTAGGAGGGGAGATTTGTTATAGGGACTTGACTTTACCCAATTGTGGGACCTGGTTAACCTTTTCATTACTATATTCTTTTCTCCTTAATTTTTTTTTTTAATGGCTTGTGTTTCCAGTATTGGAATTCATGCTTAATAATTGAGTGCATTTAGATTTTTGGTTGATACATGGATTTCATTTTACTTGGTTCCACAATCAACATCCATGGAAGCTGCAGTCAGGAAATCAAATGACATATTGCCTTGGGCAAATCTGCTACAAAAGACCTCTTTGTTCAAAAGCAAAGATATCACTTCAAGGACTAAGGTGCGCCTGACCCAAGCCACAGTATTTTCAATAGCCTCATATGCACTGGACAATGAATAAGGAAGACTGAAAAAGAATTGATGTCTTTGAATTATGGTGTTGGTGAAGAATGTTGAATATACCATGGACTGCCAGAAGAACGAACAAGTCTGTCTTGGAAGAAATACAGCCAGAGTGCTCCTTGGAAACGAGCAGGCAAGACTTGGTCTCACGTACTTAGGACATGTTATCAGGAAGGACCAGTCCCTGGAGAAGAACATCATGCTTGGTAAAATAGAGGGTCAGCTAAAAGGAGGAAGACCCCAATGAGATGAACTGACACAGTGGCTGCAACAACGGGCCTAAGCATAACATCAATTGTGAGGATGGTGCAGGACCGGGCAGTGTTTCATTCTGTAGTACATAGGGTCGGTATGAGTTGGAACCAACTCAACAGTGCCTAAAAACAACATATGGATTTTGAGAAATATGATCTGGTGCTATAAGCCACCAGTGAGGCAAGTGGCATTTTGGCCCACAAATCTGTGGTATGACAATATACCAATGAGAGGTAGACAAGTAATTTATTATGGGCACCTTTCCATTAGATTGCACGGGGTAACTCTGGTTTTCCAAATACGACACAAAAAAACCAAAACAAACCCATCAGGGCTCCCTAACTATCACACAGGAATGCCATAATTATGCTTGCAAACCTTACCTCACAGAAATAAGGGGAAAAAAGGAAAAGGTTTACAAAACTAACACATCCAGGAAGTATCACCTAATAGAATGCTCAGCCTACACAACAATGAGGCTCCAACTCATCTGCTGAGCTTCACACATTTCAAAAGGGACCCACATTGACGCTAAATGCATTAGAACCAGAATAACGCCTTACTTCTGAGGTCCAGAGGCATAAAAACTGGCTGGCGTAATGTTTATGTCAATGATAACGAAATAAACAGGCTTTGTCAGGCCAAACTTCTGGCACTGGAACCTGAAGTTGGCGGGACAAGCACCCAAGAGGGAAAGATGGACGTGAAGTGGGGAAGAGCAAGGACAAGCTGGAACCCACTGAAACCTGCCTCCGTGCCTCCAAGCCTCCAAGCCTCCTAGCTGAACAGGTGGATGGCCTGCAGGAGCAAATGGCGCCCTGCATTATGAAGGAAAACCCACACCTGGCTCAGGAACTAGAGGGGCTGTGGCCCCAGTCACACACCAGCCAGGTAAGCCAACAGATAAACGACAGCATGCAACAGCACCTGGTGTCTTAAGCAGACCTTCCAGGGCATAGGAGGGAGCTGCTGCTTCACTTCCGCCTTCCAACCTCACACACAAGGTCTCTTCCGGCCCACGCTAACCTGGAACTAAGGCAAGGACAGGAATTTCAGAAAACATAATTTCAGCTTAACTAAGTTGACTCAATATAAATCCCCCACACAAACAAAGGGGCAAACTCTAAAGAAAAGCAAAGGCATGTTTACCACATAAGTTTGGATAACATTTATTTAAGAGTGGGGAAAGGAAGGGGATTCCAATCAGTCAGGGAGGAGCACACTGGGACTTTTGAGAGTACTGATAATGCTCTCTTTCTCTTTTCTTAAAATTTTATTGTGCTTTAGGTGAAAGTTTACAACACAAATTAGTTTCTCATTCAACAACTCATACACAATTTTTTTGTGACATTGATTGCAATCCCCCACAACATGTCGATGCTCTCTCCCTTTCCGTTTACACCGGGGTTCCCCGTTTCCATTCGTCCAGGTTTCCTGTCCCTTTCTGCTTTGCTTTTGGGCAGGTATTGCTCTTGGGCAGGTATTGCCCATTTGCTCTCGTATGCTTGATTGACCTAAGAAGCACATTCCTCATGTGTGTTATTGTTTG